TTATATTAATATTAGTGCCATTTTAACGGTAATGGAGAAAATCCAACACATATATTGATATTTTCTTTTATATACCATATTAAAACTCATTGGCTAAAAGTTAAACATAAAACTATGATATTTGCTTACTAATTTTTTTACCACCAAAATAATTAAATGCAACTCTGATAATATCAATAAGTTAAATTAAGGACTTAAATACCTTGATTTTAATAGTGATTTTTAGAATCATCTAATCATAAGTTGCAATCAAGAAGGTGCACTATTAGTAATTTAAAATAACTAACATTATTTAATCAATAATAAAATATCATATAGGTTTGTATGTGTTGCAATTTTATCGATGAGGATGTAATGTGCCAAGGTGTATAAAACACATTAACACTATAAACCCAATATTGAAACCTATAAATACTGTAATAAACTTTGAAAGGAGGCCATCGCTAAACAGGTGGCACCATTTGGTTAGAGCATTGATGCAAAACGTATAAATTACAGCAACTGAATATTGTGTGGATACAGCATTTAATTTTTAAGTGGATTATTAAAACTATGGTTTGTTGAAAATCTGAACAGTAGCATAGAAGCAACAAGAAAAAAATACATAAATGCTAATCAATTACGATTTTCTTGGTGTAATGCCATTTGAATACGTGTAATTTTTACTATCTAATTAATAACTAACAATTTCAAATTACAATAATGCATGTATAGTTTTTAAACCCTGCTTTTAAACGTAAACCACTATTGTAATTTACTAGATTGAATCAAGTTCAATAAAACTATTGTTCATTAAAGTAAAGGGAGACAAAGGAACGGTCAGGCAAAGGTAATTGTATAGCTGGAGCTTTTAGTTAATTACCTAACCTTTACATTGTTTTATCATCTAATTTGATTACTCTCTAAATCACAAACGGTACAATGAGTGCGAAAGTAACGTTTTTAAACATAATTTTAAGCCAAGGCAAGCACAATTTGTAAGGCATATAGACGTATTGACTTACCTGCACTGTTTTATGTGTTGTAAACTGTTATCGACTTAAACGTGGTAAAAAGTCTTTAGCAAAAATCTGTTTATTCTGTACTACGTAGGCCTACGTCTGATATAGGTTTTGTCAAGTTGATTCGTAGGAACTCCATCAATAATTGTTGCTGATGGTAACGAGTTAGTCCCATTTTGGTGTTGATTCTTGCTATTCAACGTAGATTTAAGATCTAACTATTGCTTGATTTTTTGTTTTTTTTTACTGAGGTGATCTTATTTTTAGTTTACATATATGCCAGGGTTATTTTATTTAATTGTTATTGTATGATCCATTTTCACGTTATAACTATAATTTACTTTAAGTTCAGTTTCGTTGCATTATTCAGGTATATTAAAGATATTATTTACAACGTTTAATATGTTCAGCGTGATTTTTCAGCTTAAGTGGTAACTGTGTTGTCTGAACTATTGTAGTTTTGCACGAGTTTACCAGCTGTTCTAGGAGGTAATAAGAGAGTTGGAGAAATAGTAAGGGACTGAATCCTTGTAGCATTTTTCTTTTAAGTGGTCTCAGAGTTTATTTTGTGATTTTGTGTACCCACTTAAACTATTGTTAATATAGTGATAAAACCACGGTGTTTTTTTTTAAATTTTTTTAGTATCTACGGATCGTCACAGGTTAAACATTAGCATGTTCAGTCAAATACTGTAAAATGTCTGCTTAAGTCACAAGAGATTAGTGATTGAAAGCCTTCTTTCAGTTTTTTTTTTTAAATCATATTTTGTAATTTTATACCTTGCCGTTGGCTTTTGACGAGTTATTCATAAATAATTAAAATCGTATACGTAAATATTAATTTAATATCTCGGAAACTACGTAAAAATAACTTAAAGATAAGTAGTTAACATTTAATTCAATGTTAAGGAATAAAATTTTGCAATTAAAATTTATAGGAGAGATGTTTAACATCAAATGTGCAATGGAGTGAGGATACAATAATTTAGAAAATTTAACGATCTGTTCAAACTCCATCATAGTTTAAACTGGGTAAATATTGCTAAGTGTGCAAAGAACAAACCACAATCAATTTAAACGGAAATAAATTGGATTCAATTTCTATGTGATTGATGAAAATTCATCAGCATTTAACGTTATAATTAAAATGGAAGTCCATCAACTCTCATTAACAATTCAACCAGACCGTTTTCTTCCCTAGAGACCGTCTGGATGTATTGACCATTCAATATTACTTACCTCCAATAAGTTGTATTGTTAAAGCTAATACTTTATGGTTTTAAATGAAATAATAAAAATACCATACAATTTTTACAATGTGTAATTTACTTTGATTTTGTTCAATCGAGATTTATTAGCTTGAAATACATATTTTACAATACACATAAATATTTAGCTTGAATCGTAGTGGTATATTTTTTTCTTGTAGCATATATTTACTTTGTTAGAAAGGTTTGTATAATTTTACTAACAATTCTCTTTGAAGTTTGATTTTATTGAAATAAATCAATCTCCACTAAATATTTTAGAATGTTCACACCGGAAAATTCAGAGTTATATACGAAAATTAATTTAATTAATACGAAAATAGTTTGAAGGCAGAAAAAATATAATTCAATGGAATGGCAAGTAGTAAACAAACTAAAAAAGAGGCCTATTTTGATATTTTTTAGCCCCCTTTGTCACAAGGTGTTTATACAAAATATTAATATCATGAAATTATCGATGGATGAAACCACTGAAGTAGTATTGTTTATTGAAAACGTAATTTGTAGGTAAATTCACATTATATTGTATAACAAACCAAATGTGCACCATGTACAGAAATGGGTACGAAAGATGAATAGTCACACTTAGTTTATCGACAGGGCTTTTTGTTTCTCTCGGTCCAGTATCTTTTACCGCGTGACAGGTGATAATAATTTATCACACGCCGTGTTGCCTCTTATTTGTTACACATCTACCTCCCGTGGACTGTTTGATAATAATCCGCCACATCTACCACGCAATTCTATATAATAATATATTTACCGACTATTAGTTATTTAAAGTGTATATAGGTATCATGAAGTAGAAAAATGAAACGTAGTATTTATATTTTAATGTGGATTATGCATTTTTATTGTGGCTGATAAATGTTATATATATATGGTGAAGTGGTTAAAACCATTGTTTGTTGAATTTAATTATGTTTCTTTCCTTAAGTACATAATTACAAGTGGCTTTATATCAAGATTTTCTCTTGACACGATAGTATCTCCGGTGAAACCTCTGCGTTTTCTGTAGTACGATCGCTGTAGGAGAATATTTATAAAAGTTTCTAACAACACACTGTGTAAAATAAGTAGTTCGTTTGGTACAATACATGACAATATTTTTATAATGACTGAAGTCTAAAAGCTAAATCCTTATTCATTCTACTCTTCCAGTTCAACATCTTTTGTTTCTCAACCTGTGATATATTTATTGTTTTGAACCAGTTAAAGAAATTCAAATAACACAAAACTACTAATTCGATGAACTGATATATGAATTCACATGGCAAATAAATACCAGTTATCTCAGCTAGACAATTATGGCTAGAGTACATGATCAAAGTTTAATAAGCTAGGATATTTAAAATTTTAGTCACACCTAGTGATCAATAAAACTAGTGATCAATAATATTATATCATATCATGGTCTTGTAACTTATAATGATTTCAATTTTATAAATTTTTTTACTTAAAAAGGATTACCAAAAGCAATTAAATTTCAATAATTTAGTCGAAAAATAATATAGCCCTTACATCAACCTACTGACGTCCAAAAATGTATTGTGTGGGGATAAAATGAATGCAAAAGAGATAAGTAGAGAAGACGAATGAGCATACTTTAGTTTATTGAGAGCTCTTTTGTGTTTCTCACAGTCCAGTATCTTTCCACCGAGTGACGGGTGATAGTCATTTATCAAGCACCTTGTAGCCTTTAATTTGTTACATATCTACCTTCTGTGGACTAATCAACACTTCACTGCAACCTTATGTAGTTTCAAATCATACATACAATTTATAATTTACACATGTAATGCTTAATATTCGTAAATAAATGAGATGGACTTACGATTAAAAAAAGATTCATTTACTCCAAAATATAACGACTAGCTTTAGATTAGATCTAATTTTCAACACCCTTAATAAAGCCCCCGTTGGCTGAATGCGCTGCAAACAAGCAAAGTTGGGAGCTTTTATCCACCACTAATTACTAATTGATGAGTTTTCAATTTAGGCCCCTTCGTTGCGTTGGCAAGTACAGTTGTATGTTCAATACACAATGAAAACATTAAACTCAATAATTATCATTATTTATCATGCTTACATTATCTTTCGATATTGCCTAATTGTTTCTTGCATGACGATTTTTCATTGCAACTTTTCTTGGGCATATTATTATCAATACTTCAGAACAGTCTGTGTTTGGAACTATTTAAAAAAACTGAATGTTTTCTTGTTCGTTATGGTTCTACAGGTTTTAGAGTACATAATATTAAACGAACAGTGAATACATTTGTGATGCATGTAGCTTTCTTCAAACGGCAAAATAGCTTTTTACATCCATAATAGATTTTTGTTTGTATATCATTACGAAATGGAAACTTATTTGGGAGCTGACTTATAAAACTAAGAATTATAAAAACAGAATTTAGCTTAGTGATTAAGTTGATGGTGCATTATGATTAACATTTGTTCATCACACGGGCCGAAAGTCTAGATGACGGAAAAGGGGAGGTTAAGAGGCAACCCCTAGTAGTATAAGTACTTATTGGTATGGTCATTTTCTTTAATCACCATTAATTATTAAATTCATATAATTTTATTTACAAGAGTTAGTGGAATGGGATTGAATACAACAACTTTCAGTAGAACTTTACTTAATGGACTCTACACTTGTAATTTCTTGTATCTATTGGCAAATCGCAATTGGGAGTCAAATAAAACTAATATGAATGCTATGTTTCAGGTAATGTGGATGGGGCGTAATGGTGAATGGCCCCTTTATTAGAGTGATCATCTTGGCCAGTCTGTTTCGACACTCCAGCCCCGCCAGTAGGGAGGTTCACCCCCAAGAGAACGAGACTGACGACGATTCTGACGGTACGTCAACCACATTAAACTGACAAAGAAATCTGGCTTATTAAAACCATCTTTGCCTGTTTATTACGGTAGATGTTTGGATGAACCTTTGAATTGAGCAAAATAAACATAACTTGCACCACAAATTTGGTCCTCAGGGTTTGACCACGGCATATACATCACCTTGAAGAGATAAATTTGTAGTTTATACAGTTCATCTGATAGACTTAGTTGGTAAAAATTTAAAATTAAGAACATTTTTGAAAATGTAATAAGCTTTTACTCTGTACAGTGGACAGTAACCGTATGTGTTTTGAATATTGAACTAAACTATCATGACAGAGTTTTTTGTATCTCTAAATATTACGGAAAACCAGAAAAGATTTATGTCTTCTTTCAAGACTGTAGGGTTTTGATTTATTCTGTTATCATTTATGACATGAATTTATTTTTTTTTTATTTACAGCCGGTGTGACCTGTTACACTTGTGTCAACGTGTCAGACAACTCCATGTGTAACGAATTTGCCATTGACCATCCCTGTCCAAAAGGTAATTGAACTTTGCGATTTGTAAGACGTTGGTGGCCTTTGACCTTGACCTTGGAAGTTTTCATGGATCTAAGAGGCTTATGTGTGGAACATAATCAAACCGAACCTTAGATGAGTCGGTAGACCTAAATGGTTAGTACTGTTAAGTGGTGACCAGGACGCAAATCTTTAACATCACTGAATTTGTTTCATAGTCCATGAGTCTTTTAAAAGGTTAATCTATTTACGAAAACAGAACAGCCTAAAACCATCATTGTCATGTAAACATTATGTTTGTGGGTCTTTCAACTTTTAAAAGTTGCAACACATGGGAATGCATGTTAGGTAGGTCAAGTATTTTTGAATGGAGTTTTCCACTTGTTTTAATAGTTCACTGTTCCCAAACAGGGGAGAACTTCTGCCACACCTTACACATAATGGACTCTAGAGGAGCCAGTGTCGTTGTCAACAAAAAATGTGCAGACAGCTCAGAATGTTGGCCGCAGGGAGTAGGCTGTGTCAACATTGACTCTCAGACGGTAAATATAATTTATTTTGGGGTAGCGAGCTGGTCTAGTGTTAGAGCGCGGGACTTTGGCGCCGAGGTCCCGGGTTCAAATCATGCTAAATAACCAATAGATTTTATCTAAGTGATAGTGCTGCATCCCCTAGGTCTAGCCTCAAGTAATGTGAAAAACAATCCCGGGTCCGTGCCTACCGTCCTAGGATAAAGGAATTGAATTTAAATAATGTTCTCTATTTATTTTTATTTTATTTTATTCCTCCATGTTCTAGCCTGGAACATTTTTCCACATTACTTCCGGCTAGCTGTAGAGGGGGTTAATGCATTATCACATAAAAAAAACCATTAGTTATTAGGATTTGACCTTGGACCTCGGGAGTGAGGTCCTGCAATCTACCACTAGACCAACTCGTTCCCTAATCAGTCTTTTTTGATACGAAGTAGAGATACCATCTATATTGACTACCTGTATCCAAATTCGTTTCCAAAAGTGTCTTAGTTGAATGAGTCACTCATTCATTGCATTGAGTGCACTATTATCGAAGTAAATTTTTTCTAATTTTATATTTAAATGTTAAATAAAAGATGCTATAGCTTACTTTAGGTTATCTTTCTGTTAAAATTGTTCCAAGACTTGGCGTATTGGTAACGAGCTGGTCTAGTGGTCGGGGCGTCATTCCTTGAAATCCACCAAATCACTAATGTGTTTTTATCTGATAAAGTGATAACTACGTAAGTCATACAGTTGCAACCACTAGATCCAGCCTGTAGTAATGTGAAAGGCCAAAAGATATGGCATATTTGAACAAAGTATACAATTGACATTGGTGCACTTTTTAGGTTGATCAATTAAGCTATGTCCATGTTTATTGAAAAACTAGCTACAGCTTTCAAAAGAGAAACGAATATCTACTTTTATCAATTGTCAAAAGTCTTTGTATAAAAACATGATTTGGGGTTTTTTCAGAAGAATGCTGCCACTATTTAAATTGTGGCAAAAACCACAGTATTATAGGTTTTTGTGACTGTTTCTGTTCAGTAAATAAAAAAAAGTGTGAGTAAAGCTTACTACTAACCTAACTTAACACTAATACCGAAACCCCGGTCTGACAGGCCCACGGGAATTTTCAAAAACGCATGTTGGCAACACTGTTTACTTGGTAGATTCCATTCCCCCAATACCTTCCCCCCTTTTTCTCCCCTACCTATTGATATATCGTTTGTTCATTTTGTATGGGTGCCATGACCTTGACAGGTTGTTTGTTCATAACATGTCCGTCTCAGAAGCCTAGCGTTAGTGTATTTTAAAGCGGGGTCTCACAGACCGAGGGTTTCGGTTTGTGTGTTTCTAAGCGGGGTCCATTATTTTTCAAATGGGGTCTCACAGACCGGGGGTTTCGGTTAACGTCAGCCTAGGTGGGGTTTCGGTATTAGTGTTAACCTAAACTGTAGGTTTTCCACACATTGAATAGTGGCTGCCCTCTTCTGAAAAAGACAACATGATTTTATTTTTACTTAAGTTTAAGCTTCTCATACACCAAAAAATATCCTCAGTTCAAACCGTTTGTAACAGGTGTTCGCTTATTTTTAGACCAAATATATAAAAAGTATATTTTTACAAACTAAATTAAAATTATTTCACAAACTGTAATGTCTTTGGCTATGCAATGAGCTGATTGAAATCAAGTACTTTTTTTCTGACAGGGCTGTGAAATAAAGTTATAAGTCTGAGTAATACTGAAGAGTATTCAGTATAATTCTTCGATGTTTCAAAATATGTTCACACATTAAATCATTATGTAAATATGCCCGGTTTTGAGAAACTGTAAAGAAAGAGGGGTATACGTAGCTATTATTTTTAATGTAAATATAGTGGGAATATGTGTTATTATAAATTAAATGTCCTATCGAATTAATAGGCGATAAGGCAAAGAACTATTAGAATTTGTTGTATAGGGAGTTGAATTTAAACAACATGTTCGATCTATGTATTCGTGTAAATTTTTCGTAGTTTGTGTTTCAGAACGTAAATAATTGGCACATTTTACATTGACAAGCGGTGAGCATGATTCAAGTTTAAGCATATAGCTGTTTTAATTATATTTTGATCCATCATTGTGTACAAATAACTTCGGGTGATTAATTTATATCCATAAAGCACAAAGCTACGGCAGTTATTCTTTATTTTATTTTCAAGCTGATTTTTGTATTTAAACTCTTAACTCTTTACTTACACTCCAAACGTATTTTCTTGCATTTAAAGCTTTGTTATTACTGTATTCAACAGTGTAATCTGAATGAAGTACACTTAGGAGCTCTAATAAAATGCAAAGCGTATTGAATTTAACTTTAGCGAAACACTTTGCCAGATAATATGATTGAGATTTAGATATAATCATAATGATTACTGCAGATCTATAATTCTACGAGGTTTTTTTTATCTTATTTCGACTCACTGACAGATGATCACTATATCTCAAAACATAACCAGGTAGAATTATCAAATTTGGTATATGGGGTCCCTGGTGTAGTATTGCAATAAGACGGGATTTTGCAAAATTCTCAATTTAATGGGGCTTAAGGAAGACTAAAGCGATTTCTAGTGAAAGTCTACTGTGTATTTTTTTATTATTTTACGACGGGGAGCAGTAATTTATCTTTAAATTTGAGATTTTAAAATATCTAATAATTACTATGGTCTGCTTGGCTCAAATTACTGTGTGGAGATCTTTTAAGTTATTTCTTTATTTATTGATAATTCTTTATACTGTAATAAAAAATTTAGGGCCTGATGGCGTTACAATGTGTAACAATTATTTAAGTAACAAAGCATATAATGGCGAAAATACTCTAGAAATTACTGGAATCTTTATAGATAGGATAAAAGAAACCATAATGAGATGATTAACAAGTTTATAGAAAGTTTTAATATATTTCACATATCGTCATTAAGTTATTTTGTGTTCCCAGGTTTGCGTATCATGTTGTGACGAGATGTACTGCAACGTCACTGTTCCAACCAATAAAACAACCGCTACTTTCTCCAGTACCCGGAAGAATAAGAAGAAGAAGCAGTACACAGTGCTGTCAAATACCCGCGCAAGCTGCACAACAGAGCAGCCAAGCTACCTGACAATGACTTTAGTGTATTTGGTGACCTCACTAAAACTCTGCACATTATAGACGATCAGCTGTGATTAGTGCAATATTTGTGGTCATGTTCATAAGTGTCAGTGAAGAAGAAGTCATTGCAAGCGATTTAATACAGGTAAAATAGGGTCAAATGTATAAGATTTGGATGGTGGAACGTTGTGCTACAAAGATTTTGGCATATCTGTAAAACAGTATTATTAATCATAAGTAATTTTAGGTCCCCAACAGATAATGGAAAAAATGTTGGTAAATTACAAAAAATATATTGTCAGTTATTTTCAGTTTCATAATTTTTCTCAAAATGCCGAAGTATATAAGTTTTGTTAAAATTATTTGATATAGGGAATTCCACAATCATAACTTTTTTTTATAATTATTCAAACACGAAAATCCTTAAATTGAAAACAATTTCTTAGGTAGATTTCAATTTGTATTCATAGAAATGCAAGATGTATCATAATACATTGGTTTTACACTTTTTATGTCTGAGATTTGTTAAGAGAGCAGACTAATTCAAAACGGCATAGCTTTTTAGTAATCTTTATAAGAGGACCGTGTACATATTTAAGTTATTGACTGACTTAACTGTATTTGTCAAGTTTTACTGTCATTGAATCAAGAGTTCACGTATTTTACAATATGTAATTGGAGACTATACCGGTTAAAAGAATCTCTTGGCTATCCAAATATGGGTAAAGTAGAATTCAAAGCACCCCTAGATACATATTACCAACGCATAAGTATATTATATTATTTCCTAAAGAACTAGAAGGATTTTAATAGATTATTCCTTCCTTTTATCATCAGAGCTTGTTGAAAAAATTTATGTCATAATATTATTTTTCACACATTATGTTTGCACATCTTGACTGAACTCCTTTTATGAAAAATAACTGATTCAGCAGCAACATTGTGCCGTAATAAATAAACGAGTTAAAAAAGAAAGTCGAGTCAATACATTTTTTATAAATGTATCATAGCTGATTAAGTGTGCTTTGTATTCTTCTGTCCCTTAATTGAAACTATTTACTAGTTTAGGACTACATAAATCTTCAACACAAAATCGTTTTACAAACTAAGTTATTTTAGGTTTTTTTGTGTTTGTAAAATAGGTACATTCATGGTGGAAGTACAGTAAGTAAGTCTTACTTACACCATGGGTACGTAATTATACCCTTGCCTTTAATATTCCTATTTTTGAATCAGTTAAAAAATATAAATGAGTTTGTGAATATTAATTGTAAATATTGTATCTTCCAAACTCATCAGAGTGCTGTTAAATATATTGAATGTAAAAAAGGAAGAACATTTTTTTATATTAAGAAACATTTTAGGAAAAAATATCTATGTTAAATAAAAGCCACTATTATTAACAAAATGCGACCTGCGATACTGTGTTTTTGCAGGATATTATTAACAAAATATATTGCATTATTTGTAGTTGAAATTTTATAGTCAAAATTTGTCTAATTTTAGCACGTAACGATAAAACGATACAATGTGCTCAACGGCTGTGACACTGTTATACTTGGACATTTAGTTTAATATTATTATAAATAGTTTTAAACCCTAATGGAATATGTAATATGCAGGATATGTAAACTGTTTATTATTTAAATATAAAAGACATTGTATTAACTTCTACCTAAATAGTTATCATAATGTAAAATATAAAATTATCTGAGTTTTTATTGACAAATAAAGATATTTTGGAATTTTTATTTTTAATTTATTTTTATATACATATTACGTCTCTTGTTAATAATGATAATTTATAACCTAATACTCTTGTATATAAACGTATATGTATACATGCTAGTATTATTCTTATAATTATTCATCCTTCGAATAGTAAAACTTTAGCAGGAAAGCTTAACGATACTAAATACTTACTTTTACAAAAAAATAAAAAATAAAAAAAATAATCAGCAAGAAAAATAGCTTACAAGCGTATATTATTTATTATTACTTATGTTTGAGTATTCTCAAATTAGTACCATACTTAAATTTATTGTTTAAATGGAACTAATTTGAGAATGCTCAAAGACATTTCAATATAAAGTAAAACAATTTACCTACAAGTTCTGATCTATTAACCTTAGTTTTTAAATTATATATATTTAATCCATAACAAATATCATTCTAAATACTTTGATCAGAACCCTACTTGTAGCTGCCGTAATACTTTTAAAAAATTTCATTTTGTATTGCCTTGACCCGAAATGGCTTGACTAGTCTAAATCAATCATCAGTAACATTGACCAATAAACAGTATCGGCAAACCAACTAACACTTATTTATATTATCCTGTAAACAACCCTTATAATGGGTAAGTGGTGGGAGTAACTATTCCATGAAATAACACAAAAACCTTGCAACAGTTTAAATTTTGTTTGTTTTTGTTTTACCATTTTGCTTAGAGCTAAAAGGATCAATCATAAATGACAACATTAAAAAAGGTGTTTTGTCCATTTTGTCCCAAATCTAATTTTCCGTTACTTTATGGGTTTTCATGGGTCAATTACTATTAAAAATTAAATATTCCAAAACTTAAAACTCTCGTATGGATAAAAAATAACTACCATACCCGAAATGTCATCAAAATCGTCCCAAAGGTGTAGTCTGTAGCTCTGCCCCAAACCCCCACCCATACCTCTTTGAACAGTCTTTTTTGTGTTCAAGTTGCCCAAAACGTATAGTTACACTCAAATTTGAAAACGTTTAGGAAAACAATATTTTCTCTATATACCATGAATAGGAAAAGAAGGTAAAAACTTGATAAATACCTATGTCGCTATCGTAAATATTTTACGTATTTACGTATTAACTTGAAATGGTTTGAAGTGTAATATAACTAATAATGTAAGAAGTATTTAACAAATTCTGTATGTATCACATTCAGCCCCATTAAAATGATGAGGTATCTATTAGTCTCTCTTCCAAACCATACAGCACTATATAGCTCAGCTGGATTAATCACCAAAACGGCCTCATATCTCTGGACTTACGCTATGCAGCTATATGTTATGGACCTCGAGGCTGCATGGGTATGTGAAATATCAAATATTTATACATTAAATGGGTTAGAAACTGAAATCAATAATTTTACTAGACAGGGCGTTTGCTCGGGAATGAACTTCGCATGGTGAAGTTAATAAAAAGATACCATTTAGCTAATATGTATATCAAGTATGTATACTATCTATAATATAAGTATGTGAATAATATCAGTTACACGCCAGACCCTAGAAGGATATATTATAAACTTATTGACTGAAGATTTAATCATAATAAGATAATGAAAACAAATACAGAATGTATATTAAAAAGAAAAATACCATATCTAACTAACTGAGTATGCTTCATCTTAAAACGAATATATTATAAACTATTCTATTACACTAAAAGCATAATAGATTTTTAACGGTTCTATCTATATAATTAATACGCTACATGAAACTTTGTCGGTTGAACTCCTCTGCCAATTCTTAACCGATTTTATCCATTGACGTCTCATTGGAAAGAGCGTGTCGCGTAGATTTGCAAACTGACCTTACATTTTTGAAGAAGTCCCTTGGGCTCTGCCCCAGTGGCTTTGAGAGTTCCCATGTTATCCTTATGAAGAACATAATTGTTTACATTTTAATCAGCTGTATACTTTAATTGCTGTTATTTATTTTTCAATTCAATGAAACGCATTGAGTACATTTATTTACTTTTTGAGTTTGTGTAAACATATCCCTCAAGACGGTTCGTGTTAGTATGGTTGTATCTTAAATTTGTGTATCTATCGCTGTTTTGTGTCGCTATGACAGATCGTGTTAGTATGATTGTAACTTAAATTACTTAAATAACTTGTGAATTAAACGTTGTTTTGTGTAGCTATAATTTGTTTATTTGTTGTTTTTTTTTCTGTCAAATGCCTCCGACGCTACGACAACGAAACATAGACAGGAGGCGTAATCGTGATAACGACCGCAGCTACAGAACAGTGACACCGAATAGGCTCAACTATTAGGTTAAAAATGCGCCCTAACACTATCCCAAAACAACTTTTCGTTCTCAATTGGCCCTCTATCAATGACCTGTGTTGCCTGTACAGCGAGGCATTTTGAGAATGAGAAAACCTGCCAGAATGCTTTAGGTTTATCAATAACGAAGATAAACATGGTCTGAGTTACACACCGGTAATCTTTGAGTTGACTCTTTTAAATTCATTGTAAATATGACTGTTATTCGTTTTGAAATAACTCCTGTAATACTTTGCAATTGCTCGAATTCGAGCAACTTGTACACTAGTCCATCTTAAAACTGAAAGATGTTAATCATAGTTTTAAAAATATATATCTATTTAAAAGCCAGTCTCAAAACTACAATACTAAATCAGTGTTAAATTCAGCAACAATGGTTTTAACTAAATACAATGATTATGAGAAGTAAACAGTGCTATCACCACTACTCTCACTTATGCACTTGAGTTAATAAGTTAATAATAAAATACTTTTCACCACACTATGATGTTTTTGGCTGTATTACATACGTTAATTGGTGGCTGAAAGTTACGTTTTGCTGGCCATACCAGCTGTCATCGTAATTTGGAGACCGAGCAGGTTTTTACAGGCCGGGGCCGCAAAATCAGCTGTCCGCTTACTTACTTAAAACATGAAAGCATTTTAAATACACAATCAAAATCCATAACATTGCAATAGAATTGTGTTACTGTCACCGTTGCCTAGCAACTATTTATTTTTATTTTTGCTGATTCCTCAAATCATTTCTTCACATAACCTTAGTTGTAGTTGTGTTGACTATCAGTGTGCATTATTATAGTGGTGAATAGTGGTAATTAGGTAGTGTGGTGAAAAATAGCGTTCGCACCACGGACCGAAAAGGTTTTGCAGCTCTCAATCGATTTAAGTTTTCGAATTCGTCTCGAACTTAAAAACTATCTCGAGCCGGCAAAACCTCATTTTCGGCCCTAGGTACGAAATATACTATTGCACTGGAGCTTAGTAAAGATATACAAATATTTTTTAGATTTAAAAAAATCTGGTGTTTATATTTACTTTGTATAAAAACATGTGTGTTTACACACATATTATAGTTTACAGCCAGTAATCCTTGGTGACCGTCCTCTAATCTCATCATTTACAGCGAGTAAGCTTGTTGAGCGACGTATTATCTCATAACTTACACCACAGACAAGGGATAGTCAATGCTTACACCCAGTAAATTTAGTGACCGTCCTCTAATCTCATCATATACAGCGAGTAAGCTTGTTGAGCGACGTACTATCTCATAACTTACACCACAGACAAGGATAGTCAATGCTTACACCCAGTAAATTTAGTGACCGTCCTCTAATCTCATCATTTACAGCGAGTAAGCTTGTTGAGCGACGTATTATCTCATAACTTACACCACAGACAAGGAATAGTCAATGCTTACACCCAGTAAATTTAGTGACCGTCCTCTAATCTCATCATTTACAGCGAGTAAGCTTGTTGAGCGACGTATTATCTCATAACTTACACCACAGACAAGGGATAGTCAATGCTTACACCCAGTAAATTTAGTGACCGTCCTCTAATCTCATCATTTACATCCAGTAAGCTTGTTGAGCGACGTATTATCTCATAACTTACACCACAGACAAGGGATAGTCAATGCTTACACCCAGTAAATTTAGTGACCGTCCTCTAATCTCATCATTTACATCCAGTAAGCTTGTTGAGCGACGTATTATCTCATAACTTACACCACAGACAAGGGATAGTCAATGCTTACACCCAGAAAAATTTAGTGACCGTCCTCTAATCTCATCCTTTACAGTGAGTAAGCTTGTTGAGCGACGTATTATCTTATAACTTACACCACAGACAAGGGATAGTCAATGATTACACCCAGTTAATTTAGTGACCGTCCTCTAATCTCATCATTTACATCCAGTAAGCTTGTTAAGCGTGGTTATATCTCATAACTTACACCCAGTAAATTTAGTGACCGTCCTCTAATCTCATCATTTACAGCCAGTAAGCTTGTTGAGCGTTGTATTATCTCATCACTTACATCCAGTAAGCTTGGTCGCCGTCCTCTAATCTTATCATTTACAGCCAGTAAGCTTGTTGAGCGCTGTATTATCTCATCACTTACATCCAGTAAGTTTGGTCGCCGTCCTCTAATCTCATCATTTACAGCCAGTAAGTTTGTTGAGCGTCGTCTTATCTCATAACTTACTCCAAGTAAATTTAGTGACCGTCCTCTAATCTTATCATTTACAGGCAGTTAGGTAATTGAGGGCCGTATTATCCCATAACTTACACCCAGTAATCTTGTTGGCCGTCCTATAATACTATAATCATTTACAGCCAGTAAGCTTGATGGCTGTCCTCTAATCTCATCATTTACAGTCAATTAGCTTGTTGAGCGTTGTATTATCTCATCACCTACATCCAGTAATGTTAGTGATTTCTATCATATCGAGACAGTGAGTTAGATAAGAGTCGTTGATTAACAGGATGTGCCCTGGGCCGCTATCTCAAAGATTATACGCATGTGATGCTGTAATATCTGCAATAAACTATTGTGAAACTCTCAGTGCAAAGCATGCTTAAGGAATATTCAACATAATGTAAATATTTTTATTGCAATCTTGTAAATACTTATTTGAATAAACCAC